TTTCTATGGGCCTTGTTCATACAATTACCAGTGAAAATACGGCTACAAGCCAAGATCGGGCTAAGGCTATTATTTTCATCCGTCATCATTTGGATATTCCTCTACAGTCTGAATATTTGACGGTGAAAGATCCACTATATTTGTGGAATGAATTAAGGGAGAGATTTGGATACTTGAAATATATCACTCTTCCGAAAGCCCGACATGATTGGCTTAACCTACGGTTGCAGGATTTTAAAACTGTTACAGAGTACAACTCTGCTATCCATCAGATTACATCTCAGTTGAAACTCTGTGGAGAAATTGTTACTGAGAATGATAAATTGGAAAAGACTCTCTCTGTCTTTCATGCTTCTAATGTTGTGCTGCAACAGCAGTATCGTGAGAAAAATTTTAAAAAGTACTCACAGCTCATTGCATGTCTTTTATTAGCTGAGCAAAATAATGAGTTATTGATGGAAAAATCATCAGCCCCGGCCCACTGGTTCTAGTCCGTTCCCTGAAGCGAATGTGACATTTTTTTAACGAGGCCGAGGACGTGGAAGAGGCCGTGGACGTGGTCGCGGTCGTGAGAGTCAACGCGGTCGATATACCCCTTACAATCACCGTGGTATTGACATTAACAGGAAGCAGAGTAAAGCCCAATATGGGGATATAGCCGAAAAGGCTAAACAAGAAAAGAGGCAAATCGGCATTTGTAATCGGTGTGACATTGAAGGCTATTGGACCCATACTTGCAGAACAACCAAACACCTAGCCAATTTTTATCAAGCCTCACTGCAGAAAAATGGGAAGGAGGTCAAGACTAATCACGTTGATAACGATGACGACCCCGATGATGACCCTCTGGATTACGACACAACACATCTTGATATAGCGGACTTTTTCGTAGATCCAGCAAACCCCCAGTGATACACATATTATGTCATTTTATATTTTGTAATATTTAAATTATCGCATATTACCTTTTTGTAATGTATTTTGTAATACTTATATATGCCTTTATTAATACTGCATTTATTTATATTTGAAGGTTAAATGGATGTCAATCAAAATGATGCAAATATATGTTTCAATGACAGTGCAACGACACATACCATATTGGAATACGAAAAATATTTCTCCCATTTGAAAAGGAAAAGAATGAATGTCAATACAATAAGTGGCAGTGCGAAATTAATTGAAGGCTCTAGAGAAGCCATTATATTTCTCCCAGCAGGGACGAAAATTGTGATACAGTATGCACTGTTGGCCACTAAAGCTCGAAGAAATTTACTGAGCTTTCATGATATTCGAAAAAATGGTTATCACATTGAAACTATGAGTGATAGCGATGGTGAATTTTTATTGATCACCAATATCATTGATAAAAGGAAATGCATCATTGAGATATTACCCTCACTCTCTACTGGCTTATATTACGCTAGATTAGGTGTTGTTGAAACACACCTCACGGTAGATCAAAATATTGCCGATTTTCAAATATGGCATGATCGCCTTGGGCATCCTAGCAGTATAATGATGAGGCGAATAATTGAAAATTCGCATGACCATTCATTAAAAGGTCAAAAAGTGTTAAACTCAAATGAGTTAACCTGTGTTGTCTGCACTCAGAGAAAATTGATAACCAGGCAATCGCCAGCTAAAGTAGGTATTGAATCACCTACATTTTTGGAAAGAATACACGGGGATATATGTGGACCAATAGACCCACCGTGTGGGCCATTTAAATACTTTATGGTGCTTATTGATGCATCTACGAGATGGTCCCATGTCTGTTTATTATCGACTCGCAATATGGCATTTGCAATATTGCTTGCCCAAATTATTAGATTACGGGCACAATTCTCCGATAATCTAATTAAGACTATACGTCTGGATAATGCTGGTGAATATACATCGAATGCATTTGATGATTATTTCATATTGATTGGAATTAATGTAGACCACCCAATTGCTCATGTTCATACACAAAATGGCCTGGTAAAATCACTTATTAAAAGATTGCAATTGATTTCTAGACCATTACCGATAAGGTCTATGTTGCCCATTTCAGCTTGGGGGCATGTAATCTTACATGCAGGAACACTTATAAGAATGAGGCCTACAAGCTATCATAGTTATTCCCCGATGCAACTAGTATTTGGTCACGAACCAAATATATCTCATCTACGTAAATTTGGGTGTGCTGTTTATGTTCCTATTCCACCCCCGAAACGTACAAAAATGGGTCCTCAACGTAGATTGGACATTTATGTCGGATATGAATCACCATCAATTATAAAATATCTTGAACCTATGACGAGTGATTTATTCACTGCAAGATTTGCAGATTGTCATTTTGACGAATCATATTTTCCGACATTAGAGGGAGACATAAATGAACCGAAAAGGGATATTAATTGGAAAACCCCATTGAATTTTTGTGATCCTCGTACAAAATAGTGTGAACTAGAAGTTCAACGCATTATACATTTGCAAAAAATTGCAAATCAGTTACCGTATGCTTTCAATGACTCGAGCAAAGTCACTCGATCATATATCCAAGTTGCTAATGCTCCGGCTAAATTAATTGTCCCTAATGGACAAATTGCAAGTGCTAATGAATCAGCGACACGCTTGAAGCGTGGTAGACTACTAGGTTCCAAAGACAAACATCCTCGAAAGAAAAGAGGAATTAATGATGATAATCATGAAAATATCAGGAATGACATTGATAAACCTCAATCTAATGAGGAAGTCAACCCTGAAATAATTGCTCCAGAAGAGCACGATCTTGAAGAACATGATGAGATTAATGAAAACTCAATTAACCATATTACTTCAAGAAAATATTGAAACCGTAAAGAGGCAATTATTGATAATGCCTTCGCATACAGTTTAACACTCGATATAATGGAAGAAAACAAGGCTCCTGAGCCAAAATTGGTTCATGAATGTCGGCAAAGAAATGACTAGCCAAAATGGGAAAATGCGATTCAATTAGAGCTTGAATCATTAATCAAAAGAGAGGTCTTCGGACCAATCGTTCAAACACCAAATGGTATAAAACCAATTGGATACAAATGGGTGTTTGTACGAAAAAAAAATGAGCATAATGAAATTGTGAGATATAAAGCCCGTCTTATAGCTAAGGGATTCTCACAAAGACCTGAAGTAGATTTTGATGAAACATACTCTCCGGTTGTTGATGGAATAACTTTTAGATACCTTGTGAACCTAGCAGTGCGAGAAAAGCTCGATATGCGTCTTTTAGACGTAGTTACTGCATATCTTTATGGCTCATTGGATACTGTTCCTAAGAGATTCAATATGCCTGAAGCATACAAATTAAACCCAAATGAATCATATTCCATCAAATTGAAAAAGTCATTGTATGGACTTAAACAATCAGGGCGAATGTAGTATTACCGTCTTAGTGAATGTTTAATAAAAGAAGGTTATACTAATGATCCAATATGCCCATGAGTCTTTATAAAGAAAAATGGATCAAATTATTTTATTATTGCAATATATGTTGATGATCTCAATTTAATTGGAACTCCAGAAGAGATCCAAATTGCAGTTGAATATCTAAAGAAAGAATTTGAGATCAAAGATTTTGGAAAGACAAAATATTGTTTGGGATTACAAGTGGATCATGTTAATAATGAGATATTTATTCATCAATCCACATATATCCAAAAGGTATTAAAGCAATTTTATATGGATAAATCTCACTCCCTGAGTACACTAATGGCGGTCAGATCCCTTGATCCCAGTAAAGATCCATTTAGACCAAGGAAAGAAAATGAAAAAAATACTTAGCCCTGAGGTACCATATCTCAGCACTATTGGCACATTAATGTACCTCACAAATTGTACTAGGTCAGATATATCTTTTTCAGTAAATCTACTGGCCAGGTTTAGCGCATCCCCCACAAAGCGTCATTGGAATGGTATCAAACACATTTCTCGTTATCTTTAGGGGAGTCATGACCTCGGTCTATTTTATTTGAGTGAATCTCGAAATGAATTAATTAGTTATGCTGATGCTGGTTATCTGTCTGATCTACACAAAGCAAAATCTCAAACTGGCTATTTATTTACTTGTGGTGGAACCGCAATCTCTTAGAGATCTGCTAAATAGACAATAACAGCTACTTCTTCAAACCATGTTGAGGTTTTAGCAATTCACGAAGTCAGTTGTGAATACGTTTGGTTGAGGTCCATGACTCACCGTATTCAGAAAAATTGTGGCTTGATTACCGATGATATATTACCTCCCACAATATTATTTGAAGATAATGCAGCCTGTATAGCTCAATTAAAAGGAAAATATATTAAAGGCGATCGGACAAAGTACATATCTCCGAAATTCTTTTTCACTCACGATCTTCAGAAAAGTGGTGAAATTAATGTGCAGCAAATTCGATCGTCTGAAAATTTTGCAGATTTGTTTACGAAGGCTCTACCGACTGCAATATTCAACAAACTGGTGCAAAGAATTGGAATGCGTCGAATGAAAAAAATCAAATGAAGTTCAAAACAGGGGAGCGTATTAATACAAAAATTGTGTACTTTTTTTTTTCTTTACTATAGTTTTTTCTCACATAGTATTTTCATAATAAGATTTTAACGAGATATATTCTTTACATAAAAATATTACAGGAAGAATATTGTAAACATAGTATACACATCTGCCCAAAGTAGTCTTCACTCAAATGACACCCCACTTTCCTAGTATGACTTCTCCCTCTATCTATTATTCTCTTTATAATACATATACATATATACATTAAGATATATACATACTTATAATATTATTATATATATAACAGTATCAAATTTAATAAATAATTGATTATTTATTAAATATACTACTATTAATTGAAGGTTGGCGGAGTGGAGATATTTTTTGCATCCCAAATAAGTGATAGAAGCGGAAAGTTTGACGGATTCGGAGAACCTCCCCAGTTTTCTTTGTTTATTTAGTTATATTTGTTTATTTTTCTTTTTCTTTTTATATCGTTTCCGGGTTTTCTTCTTGTTTTTGCGTGTACGCGACGTCACAATCGTTAACAATAAAAACTCGTCTCTTCTTGTCTCATTTCGTCATTCGGTTTTGGTTTTTGGATTTCATCGCTCATCGATAATCTCCATCACTCACTGGTAGTGCTGCTGCAACCTGCAGTTGCAATTGCTATATCGACAACATTCGTTCCCACAACAAACCATCATCGGCTGGCGTAGTCATCTCTTTCCTCACTCAACCCTTGTGATTCGATCGAAATGGGGCTCGGACAACGAAAGGAGGCTGATTCTTCAACCAAATCGAAAAAATCTTCGCGCTCCCTGCCGCGGGAGGACACCCCGTTGCTGCCGGGAAACGGCAAAGTTCAACCCCTTTCTTCTCAGCTTAAAACCTTCGCCAATGTCTTGATTTCAATTGTCGGTGCGGGCGTCCTCGGACTTCCCTACACGTTTATGCGCACGGGCTGGGTAACAAGTCTCCTCACGGTCTTTGCGGTTGCCGCTCTCACCTTCCGCGGGATGATGCTTTTGATTCATACTCGGAAGAAGGTTGAGGATTCTTCCCTGGTTACCTCCCGGAAAATAACGTCGTTCGGTGACCTAGGGTTTGCCGTATGCGGTTCTGTTGGCCGATTCGCCGTCGATGCGATGATTGTTCTCTCCCAAGCTGGATTCTGCGTTGGATATCTAATTTTTATCGGCAATACTCTTGCCAATCTATTCAATTCCCCGTCATTGATGCTCTCTGCTGGCCCCAAAGTTTGGGGGATTTCTGCAAAGGCTCTTTACATTTGGAGCTGCTTTCCATTTCAATTAGGGTTGAATTCGATCCCAACGCTTACTCTATTAGCGCCTCTCAGCATCTTCGCCGATATTGTCGATTTAGGTGCGATGGGAGTGGTGATCGTGCAGGACGGCCTAATGGTTGCGAAACAATTGCCGGCGGTAGAGGCGTTTGGCACCGTTTCGACATTTTTCTACGGATTGGGCGTGGCGGTTTACTCGTTCGAGGGGGTTGGGATGGCTCTGCCTTTGGAAATGGAGATGAAAGACAAATCCAAGTTTGGGAAAATCTTGGGATTGACTATGTTATTTATTGCTGGTTTGTATGGGGCATTTGGATTGATGGGGTACTTTGCCTTCGGCGAGAACACGATGGATATCATCACGGGCAACATGGGGAAAGGGCTTTTGAGCACCTTGGTTCAGCTGGGGCTCTGTATAAATCTGTTCTTCACGTTTCCGATGATGATGAATCCTGTTTATGAAGTGTTTGAGAGAAGCTTTTGGAATGGGAAGTACTGCTTGTGGATGAGATGGGTTCTTGTCTTGGTTGTGAGTTTGGTGGCATTGTTTGTCCCGAATTTCGCTGATTTTCTGTCGTTGGTGGGAAGTAGCACCTGCTGTGCTCTCGGCTTTGTGTTGCCGGCATTGTTCCATTATCTTGCTTTTAAGGATGAAATGAGCCGAGGACAAGCTTGCTCGGATATTGGAATGGCTGTCTTGGGTGTTTTCCTTGGAGTTTCGGGGACATGGTTTTCTGTCCAAGAGATTTTATCTGTCAAGGTATGAGATTATTGCGTTTTTTGAGCAATTGTAGATGATGATTGAGTTATACTATGTTTTGTATGCCCAATCGAACTTATATTATGAAGTGTCTTATTAAACTTCTTAGTAAGATGTATTGTGGCAAATTTGTTGATGTTGTAATGAACCATGGAGCTTTACATTGTGAAGCTCGACAACAATTGTGTTTGTTATGATTTCTATTTGAAATTGATGAGTGTTTCACACTATTATCAATGGTGGCACACTTCATCATATGCAATGTTTATTCTGAAATTTATTGTACATTATTTGCTTCCCAATAGCAACTTACACACCTGCACTGGACTGGATTCATGGGAGATCGATGCTGCGCAATTGTTTATCATATAGTAGTGTTTCATTTGGTGTTGATTCTTATCGAGTCTTCTGTAGGTGGAAGTCGATGCTTCTTTACACTTGCTTGACTTGGTGATGATTGCTGTAGTTGCTTTCGGATTATCACATTTTGTTAGATTGTTTGGAAAAAAATGAAATATGATAATGTATATGTGTTTATAGAAAATTGTAGTTGTTGAATTTGAAAGTGAAAGGAGAAATACTCTGTTTGGAAGGCTTCAATCTGGTGCTTTGACGATTGTTTGCCACTAAGCTGAGTGGTATGGGTCTCGTTGATAATCTTGTCGATATGTTCATAAAGTCGTTCCTCATGGTAAGTTCCTAACAGTGTTTGGATTTACAAAACATGTTGAGCAATTGATACCCTTATGGGCACCTAATAGCCCTTTGATGCGTTTGATAGCTTTTTCGATGCTCTTATGGGCACTGTTTGTTTTGTCATATTTAAGATGGAGATTTGTTTACAGGGATGGCAATAGATTGGGTATGGGTCTTGTCCCGCAGGAATTGAGATCCGACCCGAATACATGACTGGATCCAAGATTTGAATTGGACTTGGATAATACCAATTAGATCTGAAAAAATCTTTTATAATTTTTAAAATTTAATTTAAAAATGAATTCAAACCCAGACCTGGACGGGACGTATATTAACATTTATATATTTTATTAAAAAATATTATAATAAAACAATAAAGAATAAATAAATTAAACTAAACATATTTTAAATATAATATATATCATTAAAAATTATTTTTTTTTATATATACAATTAATATATTAGACTAATATATTAATTGGGTCTGGATCCTGACCCTTGGACCCGACAAGGGTACACAATACTCGACTCGGACCGGATACTTGAATAATTAGATCTGATCTCAAATAAATAGGTCAGGTCCGGATTGCCTCTCGGGTTTAACTAGACCCATTGTTATCTTTATTTGTTTACTTTTGTGAATTATGTAATTCTGTTTTTCGATTTTTTTATTTTTTATTTTTTATTATTCTTATTGTATTGGTGGCAATATATTTGAAAGTGAGATGTAGCTGAATGTATATATTGGAGTACCGTGTGTATGTCTTGTTCAAGTTCAGTTTGCATTGTTTATAGGCTTTCAGAATAGTAAATGTTTGTTAATTATCAGCAGCTGATTGGATTGTATAAACATATCCAATGCATCCAGTAAACTGTTTCCCAATCACTTGTAGCATGTAGCATGAGAGACACTTTTAACAAGAAAAATTAAAGTACGAGAGAGATTGGATTGGATTGGATCGGATCATAAAATAGGATTTAGGACCACCAGTTGTGATGTCATTATCAAAGTCACAGCTAAGATCAATTATGACCATCAATATTAGACGACGACTCGTAGTTGTAGGAGGAGCGATTGGATTATGACTCAAGAATTAAAGAACCAATTAATTAATCAATCAATGGTAATAAAAAGAGATGAAATGATGCCAAAAAGCAGCAACAACTAGTGTGCGATATGCTAATTTAGTTTAATTTAATTTAATATAATATAATTTGTTTTAGATAGTCGGCCGCGCCGCACCGCACCGCACCGCCCATTCCTTTTCATTTGTCGTTTAGTCAGTCAATAACAATAGAAAATTTCGGCTGTCTATATTGCCCACTGGCGCTATGTACTTCCGCCTTAGATAAGGGAGAGAGGACCAACGATTTTTTGTTGGTTACCTTACACAAGTTGCATTCGAATTCCTTTGTTTTTAAGATTTTATATATTTCTTAAATGAGACTATATAGAGATTATGGCGCTTTGATATGACTTAATCCAATCGGCATACGTTATAAGCATCACAACATACACTACTAAAAAAATTGTTTTCTACTACGGCCGGAAAATCGTAACAACAAGCCATTTTTCGTGCAATTTGCGTATTTGCTACGCCTTTGTTACGACTTTTTTCCGTAATGTGTACTCGCGTAACGAATATTTTTTGCCACGCAGTTTTTCGTAACTATTACTGTCGGTCAACGCTCCCTAATACAGGGTTTTTGTTACAATATTTGGTACGAATTTCCTCTCGTAACCAAAGGTCGATCCTTCCACGCGTGTGTCAGAGCTTTTTGTTACGATATTTTTTACGAAAGGTCGGCGCGTTACAAAAACGTTCCAGTAATCGCTTGTCAGATTTCGTTTTTGTTACGAATATTTGTAACGACATTGAACCGTAATTAAAAATATACTTATCATTAGCCACGGAACAACAAACATCCAATGACCACTTTTTGTCACGGTATTTCATCCTTTTGTTACGCAGAAATATCATGGTACGAAAAATAGGTGATACACGGCAATTGAAATTGTGCGTAACAAAAAGACCTGTTGTGACCTCCCCAATACCGAAAGAAATTTCGTTTACACATAATGCTATAAACATCATCATTGGCAATACTTGCAAACATTAATTCATAGTATGCATAAGAATCCCGACATTAAGGGACATGGACACCACAATTTTTACTCGACAATCTCCATACCTAGCAACGAAGTAAAGCAACCCATAAAACAAGCCTAGCAATCACAACACAACAACAACTTGTTCCGGAAAATCAGCTTAACAGTTCAAACACCAAACCTAACAATAAGCAAGTACGGATATCCATCAATCGATAACCACATCGTTCACCACACGAATTAAAACTCCAATGGTCTATGCATGCATTCCATATATTGTTCACACAGCCTCAACACAATCCAACGAAAAACAGGTACGACATACATTTCATAAGACAAACGGGGCAACTAACACGGGTGAATCGGTAGATACGCTTCAGGGGCGGCGCATGAGCTGCAATAGCCAACACAACGATTAGTTTAAGTCGTATCTCTTATAAAATTCGGAAGGCAATACAAGAAAGGTATGAAAGTAGATCTGTACGTCCTTGTAGTTCCACTCAATAGAATCTTCACCAACGACATTGCGAAGGGTAGTCACCCCAGCAATGGTCGGCAAAATAAGAGGTGTGTCCGGGACTGAGGCGGATGTCACGAAGACCTTGACCAGGGAAAGTGTGTCACCTACAGCATGCACAAGTGCAATTTTTGAGTATATTGAGCCATATATATCAACAGACGTTCAAACTGTATGTATAACATGCCACAACACAGACATTAGAAGTGTAAAGCTTTGCAACTAAAAAAAAAAAAAAAAAAAAAAAAAAAAAAAAAAAGCTTTGCAACTAGAACAATACGAGTATGTATATCCAGACATGTCGTACAATACATGGTATTATATCCACGAATTAGGTACCAAAGTACATTATATCCTAATTTCCTATGTGATTGCAGCTCGATCTATAAACCAATCATCCTCCAATAAACAAATGTAAACCAACAATATCATGTACAATATCCAAATAAAAATTAGTATTTCGAATTTCTATATCCATATGGCAACCCCCAAATGGGATGGCTCCATGTATGTTTCGTAGTACTATGCCTCAATGAGAATAACTACCATTTATACACTACATACGAGCAGACATCCGCAGATGCAGTTCCAAGTTTAGAGTACCGACCACTGATATATCATGTTTTATGTACCAAACTCATGACTAACACGAGGTACACCTTGGCAGCAAGGGACTACATAGGATTTCAATAATAAAGTCAACTTCCAACATCTTTGGGGAAAGTCATAGTGTACCCAAATGGTGTAATATCATCGTAGCCATAAACAATGTGATGTAAAAGATAAAAAAGACCAGACCAACACAGGAGTCGGCTTAATACCACTGAGTTTACTGCCCCTATAAAAACAGTGTACATAACACAAGCAAATCCACATATCGTAACATTGTATATGTCTAGGCTCAAGAAAACCATGATCATTAGCAATATGAGGCCCGAACGGTCACAAAACCTACGATCCCATAGCCGAGGCATAATAAAAGTTCCCAAAAAAACCTTAAAGACAATGGCACAAACCTGGCGCAGGGGGGCAGAGCAGAAGTCCCTCAGCAACAACTTTTTTCTCACCGGTGCGGGATAATAGAAGCACACGCGTGCCGACCTACAACAAAATATTACAGATGAGTTGGAAACGTAGTAGACTATCAAGAGTAGCCTAAAATAGGCATTGCACTGATTACTAAGAAACTTCAAGGTTTGACGGAATCATACCGTCAGACCTGGCTCGGACACAAGCCTGGGAAGCTCAGATACTGTATCAATACGAGATGTGCCCTGTCATTTATGCGCATATCATGGTAAATTCCCATATTAGCCATCCCAATCTCATGGGATACTCATATGAAATGTACAGATATTATGAATACTTACTGCCTGGCCAGTAACTGTTCTGGAGTTTCTGTGCATGAATGCATACACATCAGACTTGATAGTTTTGAACTCAACCATCATTGCCCTCAACTCTGCAACTCCATTCTGTATTTGTTCCCACCCTTGCTCGAATGCTACACTATCTGTTAAACTAGTTGCATCATTGCGGGGATGGGCTGAACTTGTCGCACTATCGACCTTTGACCGCTTCTTAATCTTTCCCCCAAGGGCCCGTCGGTACAGAGTCTCCCGAACAGAGGGAGTCCGCCCTTCAAGGGGAATCTTGTTTAGCACATTCTGTAAATATGTCTACAAGAAAAGATTTAAGTGAGGCCGAACTCGCTTTTATTGTCAGAGAGGTACAGAATGTCTGAATTGTCACTTAATTGGTACAATAAATTTATTATACCAAAATCTCCTCGGTTTTTTGGTCGTCCTTCCCCTTCCCTTGTGTCCGACTGGATATCAAAATCTCCAAATTGTCGGGGTCCTTCCCCTTTGCTTTGATCTGCAGCAACACAAGGCCTTATGTCATTGCAAAACACAAGCAACTATGTTTCGAGGAATGTAGGGATGAAGCATAGCATGACTAATTACTTAAACATAATGAAAGGT